ATATATATATATATATATATATATATATATATATATATATACGTATATATATATGTATATATAATATTCCTGTGTGTCAGGGCAATATAGAAGGCCAACAAAATGTCTGGTTGATTTATTTTCACAGCCCCTATTTTAATATAGGGACGCGTTACATATCAACGCAACACATATCATTTACAATCATACGAACCTCCATATTGTACATAGTAATTGTTAGTACTCGTAATATAATAGATAGTATTTATAATTATTAGTCATCATTAATACAATCGTACGTAATTCATTAAGATTTTCTTCTTTATTATGATTAATCAATGTGATAAAAGGCAACATTCATTTTGTAATAGTATCGTCACATTATTATCATCGGTCTATCAATATTATATCATGACAGTAGTAATTTGCCGTTTAACGTTATTACACAAACGATGCAACATTGATATATTGATAAATAACTTTCCAATTGTTTATCGTGGTTTTACTAGATTTAATTTTTTTTATACCATACGAAAACGGTTTACGTGATCTTCGTTGGCGCTATTACCGAAAAGAAACGAGTGCTGTGAAAAGCTATTTTTACTAATATAAGAATGTTCATTTTATTTACAAACGATTTCGCGTTTGGATCTAATTGGAAGTTAAAAGTATTTCTTTCTCTTTTTTCTTTTCCTTTTTAACTTTTTCAAAAAGTACCAACACGATAATCTTGTAAAAGTCCAAGCAATTCGCAAGAGATAACACGATAGTAAAATTTAGCAAATATTTTGAATTCTACCAAGTCTTTCGTTTTGCAAGCCTTGTCGATGTGAGCGTTGCGTGTACAAAATAGAAAAAAGTTCGACCAGAACTTGACTCCTTTAAAGTAAATAGTATAGCATCTCTTGTAGCCTGTATTTTCGTTCACACTTGTGCAATATTTTTTAGATTTTATTAGTTTGATTACTAAAAATTAAAATCAATTAAATTATGATTCGATGGCCACTGATGAGAATAAAAATTGATAGATACGAATTATTCGGGTATTTAAACACAAATACTGTCGTAATAAAATCAGTAATATTTTTTAATCAATTGATCTTGAATATTAAATTTTGTTAAAATTTTGTCAAAAGTTTGTCAAATATTTAAATCAATGCATACTTTTATATAGCTGTATAAACAATATGTTTAAGGAAATATAATATTGGATTATGGTGAGATGGGCGCAAAAGTTATGGAATATGTTGTGCAGACAATGACGTTTTTTTAATACTGTAAAACAATAAACATTTTTTATTAGATCGGTATTTTCGCTTGGACATTGGTATCCTTGATACAAGCTACCAGAATTTCTGTTCGAGCGTTTAAACTCAGTAAAGCGTTTCGACGATCACGAAACCGCCGGAACGATATTCTACAATTTACGGCTAGTGCTCACAACGACTTGGTCCAACGTGTTTACAAGATAATTACAGTCAAAGTTTGCGAATAGGCAGGAGCAATAATAACGAGTAATAAATCTACGACAGTCTACTTAGTTACTTGTTTTTTTTCTTCTCTCAATCTTTTCTGCAATGTTACACGAAACGATATTTTTGTTTCTCATCTCTCCTTTTCTTTTTTTTTCTTTTTTTTAAATATTAAATATTAAGATTCTCAACGCGTTTACACGGACAAGGAGAGCGTGTTAAACGAATTGAGAGAAAGATTTGCAATTAGTTCTTATTACCGTTATTTACAATTAGGTGTGTCGCCGGGCATGTCTATCGTTATTATTGTTAATATTAATATTATATAATATACATTTTCTTCTTCTATTTCGAAAATGCAAACACGCATAACTATTACAGAAACATACAGAGCAACTGTGCGCGAGTTGCACGCCAGGCGCCCTTTAAATATTACACATAGATAATAATTTTTACCCTGGTTTTATCAATTATTACAAGTATACGCATATATGTATATGTATGTACTTTTATATATATATATATATATACACATACTTATATAACATTGCTCATAAATGTCATATTTTCTTTATACAATCGTTGACTATCATTTTCTACCATGTTACACAATATTGCGGTAATTTCAGTCGCATGCTTAAATAGTATGTAATCCATTTCCTTTTTTTTTTATCCTAAATTTCGAAATTTTTACTTGCAATAAACAAACTTTAAACGATACTGTAAGTCGTTGAATTTGAACGAGATCACTACTACATATTCTTGAAAAATTACTTTTCTCCTTCTTAAAAAAAATTTATTTATTTTTTATGAAATATTACATTAGATTGAAAATGAAATGATAATGTACGATACGAGAAAGACGCGTTAATACTTATATATATATACATATCTTTTTTTTCAGGTTTTCTTTTATTTTTTATCTTGCCAAAATTGTAATTATATCGTTAATTATTGTTATTTCAAAGCTTTCTGCGTTTCTTAATATTTTTGTGTGCGATTTATCATAGACCAAGATATATTACCAATCTCGAACCAATTTTACTTTTACAATTTTACTCAATCATGATGAAAATGCATATTTGGAAAGTGGTAACTACCGCACGGTCGGTTTTCAATTCGTTTAAATTACATCTAATATGTTTTGCAATTTGACTACTTCGGTTAATCAAGATGCGCGTGAATTCGTGATTAAAAATCCCCGCTTTTTTTCACGTTCGCGAGGAATTTCTACTCTTTATTGTACTATCTAGGTGAATGGTATGTTTTTCGAAAAATTAAAGGTGAACAAAAAAAAGGAAAGGGATATATAGGTGTTTAACTTTCCTGTCTTTTTTCTTTCTTTTTTCTTTTTTTTTTTCAATAGAAATCTTTTAAGACGAGAATGGATATCAAATTTTTGGTATCGACGACCGTGACACGTTTGATATGTTCTTTTCTAGACTGAAGCTACACAATTCAATTTGGAAAAGTCACTAAATTTTCATTTTTTTAGAAATTAGTAAACGCAAAATCTGGATTCTAGGAAAGATTCAGAAAGACGAGATCTTTTGCGAGTACTCTTGAGTACTTGTCGAGTACTATTCGAGTACTTTCAAATATATCGAATCGCTCAGTCGCTTTACCGTAAACTTTCTAAGAAGATAAAGATTAGTCCGTTTTGGTCAATTACTTAGGACAGATAGTTAACTTTAATAACTAACACGATTAAAAAACTACGAGAAACTTACACTCGAAGAATACATATTACTAACTGTATGTACGTGTATACAATGTGTCATTACTTTTGCGCGCTATGAAATTCTTGTTGCTTTCTAAATTTTTATCGTACAATTAGACTGCTTTTTATATACGTGTTCTACGATAAAGGTTCGAATAAAAATCTAGTACGTTACACGTTTCCATTATTTGTGTGTGTATGTGTGTGTATGTATGTATGTATATGCGTGTAAATGCATCACGTAAAAATGTGTTCGAAACGTATCGCGCTAAAAGCACAGTTATAGAAACAGAGAAGAAACACGTAGCGAACATAGACACGGGCTAAAATTTTTTTGTTCGTGCCCGAGGAGAAAGAATTCGCCAGCGTGGTTCGTTGAGTTCGATGCAAAGTTATAAAAAAGGGACGTTTCGTTTGCTCCTCTTCCACTTCTATTAACGAACGAGTTTTTCACCTATGGCTTATAAGAACGTGAGACTTTTTTTTTTTTTTTTTTTGATCAAATGTTCCACGTTGATCGTTAATTTTTTTTTTCTTTTTTTTCCTTTTTTATTCCGATCGAACGGTTCGTTTGATTGCGTGCTTAAGTGATAACAGGTACATAAATTACACACGAACTAGTAGTGAACTATAATTTTTTTCTTTTCTCTCTTCTCTTTTTCAAAAGCTTCTTTCCGGAATTGGCTGATACTTGGGGAATGTTCGGCGATGCATTTGTCCGGTTCTTTTTCTTTTCTCGATTTTTTTTTTTTTTTTTTTTTTTTTGACTCGACGAGTTTGCTCATCGATCTCTCACGAATTGTCTCGATTGTTCAACGACAATCCTCTTGCTTAAATATTTTTCAATCGACACGACGAGATCTCTTCCCGTTGCACACAACGTGCAAGACACAAGAGTATTGAGATTATGAGAGAAACTAAAAAAAAAACGCGGGAAGTGAAACCGGTGATAGCGATACCCGATATTTCTTTTCTTTTCCTGATACGACTTCCTTTCAAGCGTATGAGAAGGTGTGAGAACGTGGACGATGCAGTTATCTCTGTTGTTTATCGACGAAAAGGATAAAACAGACTCGTCGATCGGATGATGATTGGAATAAGGATTCGCGGCCGTAGCATAAAAGAGAGAAAAAAGGGAGACAACGTTTGACAAAGAATAGAGCCGTAAAAAGACAGCGAAAATTCAGTTGAAAAAGTGTCCGAGCGAATACACGGACATCTGCATTTATTAACTATTTAGAACATAGTGATGCTTGCGTGAACTTTTCTCTTTCTTTCTCTGTCGTTTATACTTTTTGCATTTTTATTGTTATTGTTATTATTATTATTATTTATTATTATTATTATTATTATTTATTATTTATTATTATTATTATTATTATTATTATTATTTTAAATGTTTCTTTTCGTTTATTCATTTCTTCTTTTTTCTTTCCTGT